GTTACTTTTCCTGTCCAGCTTATCCTTTCCATTTTCCTTCATGTCTACATTTCAAATGCCTAAAGCATCTTTCTTTCCTTTTGCGTCTTTGTCTATGTTTCACACCCATATAATGCTGTGCTCTATGTAAGTTTTTATAAATTTCTTACGGATTATTTTTGATGTAAATATATATTTTTTGTTATCATAGGCCTATGTTAATTGTTCTATATTAACAGTACTGTTAAAAATACTGTTACCAGTATCTTATATTACCTACCTGCGTACCTTCTAATTTATAAAAAAAACAGTGAGTTACTGCCTAATTTATCAAGACATACAATGTTCCACGGTTAGACACGGATCTTTTTCCTTTAAAAAAAGGATAATAACTTTCTATTACTGAGGAGAAGGGAAGGGATTTTTAGTAATGGGGTTTAGCAACCCCATTGCAATAAACCCTTTCAAAATCGATCTCCTTGCGATTCCGTAAGGAAATAAAATTAATTAAATCAAATGACAGGCCAATGACCTGCTTTTTCATTCTATATATATGATGATAGATGATATATGGGGTATATAATTAGTATAGATAGAATTACCACTTCTATATTACTCATAAAAAAATTACTATTATCACACTAACTAATAATAATAATAATTTTTATTCAAGAAAGATACAGTTGCATAAAGTACAATTTACAATTAAACTAGGTGACTTTATATAGGCATTTATTCGCATAATATGTTTTAATATAATAACTATCCGTACGATCAAATTAAACGTAAGTTACGTTTAAATTGATCGAGAAAGCTCAACTAGTTTCGAGACCATTCAGAGCCCTTGGTAATAAGTACAAAGTGTACTTATTTTACAGTTAGTTATTAATATTTAAAATTTTAATAGCATAGACTAAGAATGTTGTATGTAAATGCACATCGCCTATTGTTCCCACGGTCACCCTGCCTATTGGCGTGTGCTATAGTCATTACAAATGCTTCCGCAATTAGAGATGGGATACGCTTAGCTTTCTCGCTACTAACACTCGATTATTAGCTGCCACTACTTATCGGATACTACCGGCAACTAAGCTGTGCGTGGTAAGCATTACCGCGCTGCAGTAGTGAATAATTTTGAAACATGAATTTGTAAGTCCATTATATAAATTTTTGTTTAATTATTTTAAATTTTTACTCCTTTCACATCTAACAATGGTTAGCCAATTGAAAAGATATTTATATGTACAATCTGATAAAAATATTAAATTAAGAAGAATAAGGACCACGGTTTTTTCGGTTGCAATGTGAAAATAAAATGTGCTTGTAATCGATCAAGTTAAAAATCCAGTTTGTACCAATAGTTCTAGCAGAACGAAAAATCGTAAGTCAAATATAAGTTTGCCTGGTTGAATGTTTTGAAAGTACTATGACGATTTTTATTGTCATCTTTGACAACCTTCGTAGTGCATTTTAATTCGACCAATTCAGGAATAAAAATTAAAAAGTAAATTTAAATTGAGTGTAGCTGTTCTGGGTTGATACAATTGTTGTGATTATGCATTTAAAAATAAATTAAATAAAAAAGAAACTTACTAATGAATACCTATTATTAACTTCTAAACCTAAAAATAAAAACAAAAAAATCTGTCAATTATACAGACAGAGATAATAGGACTACATAGTCAAGTCCAATAAAACAAATTATTATTTATAGCGGTAACATAAACCGGCCATTAATTGCCTCACTTGATGACCGTGTAGAAATTCAAATTAAAAATATGGCAGTAAAAACAGATCGTGATCCAGTTTTACTTCTTAATAAAGTGTAGTTGTGGCCAACGAAGGAATAAATATCAATCCAATTACGGTATCGCTACAAATTCTTGTAAACATCTTGTACGTACTTATACAACCAAACTGCTTGTGATCAAACTATATATAATTGGAGACATTACAGTAATGGAGTATAACTATTTCATTATTAGTAATATAGGTTTGTTTTTAATTGGTGAAAATGGAATGGTCACTCCGCCTACACTATCTGAATACGTTGGCGGGACATCAGTAAAAGATGATAGGTAAGGACGAATGCAGGTTAGTTGGTCCATCATGACGAATTCGACAACAATTAACCGAGATGGTTTCCTGGGGAGCCCATGTAAAGGTCGATCTCATAGGGTAGTTATGGGACTATTAAACTCCATTCCTAATAATTACATTAAATAATTGAAGTCGGCACAAATTCTATAATAAGGTGTGAGCTGTCTGAACGGTTTGAAATAAAAAAATAAAATCTGTATCAAAAATGTAAATTATTTTTAGCTTGACAAAAACGTCAACAATCTAAGTTTGATATGTCAATCAAAAAGAAAGTTTTTTTTTTTTTTGTTAAAAATAAAATAGATTTTACAGGGTGTGCATTTTAAAATAAAAAAAAAATTGTGCATTTTCATATTCGCCAAAATACCAGTACCACTAAAATGCGTTGAACAGTTTAAAAGCTACACAAATAAATATTGCACCCGTGCAAAGTCGGGGCAGGTCCCTAGTAGTCCATAATTAAATAGATTACTTGTCTGTTTACTTAATTTATTTCTAGTTAATTAATTGAATAACCAAAATCAAAATATTCTAACATCTTTACTAACTTTCACGTTTATAATATTAATAGGATTCTCAGACAGATATTAAATGGACAAAATAAGGAATCCCTCTTCTATTGGTTAGGCTGTTTATGATTAATTAATGGCAAATTGCCATGAAATTAGCGGGCGACAAGATTTCTTAGTGGGTGATCTCTGTTACAATTTCTTATTTAATTATTCAGTTTATTTCTTTCCTTATCGTTTTGTTTCAATCCCGTTGCTTTGCTTCGTAACTAGTTAGTTGAATAATTAATTTTAAACTAGTTTGAGTTTAATTAGTCTACTGTATTTTTACCAAAGACATCATTTGTCCGGGTTTTTTGATAACGTCGTTCATTCAAGAGATTTTATTTTTATTTTAGAAACGAAAACATAACATTTACCAGAGGGAGACTTTGTACAAAAGCCGATTGCTAGGGTATCTCTGTCCCATTCGTGTTTCAACTGTATAGCAGTTGTGTTTGCATGGCTGTGTTTCGGTTTGAAGGGGTGTTTCAGGGGAATTTACAGGGTACAGAGGAATAGCATCTGAATCCTTAGGAATGGCAACGCATTGGGGGTATCATGGGCGTAACAGTATACTCTGTAATGTCTATGGTACTGCTCATGTTTATAGGCGACGGTTACCACTTTTCATCAGGTGGGCCGTCAGCTTGTTTGTCATTCTTAGTTGTATAAAAAAATGCTGCATGCTTCTAAAATCATTTCTAATGTTAAATCTTTAGAATAGATGTAAAAAATAATATTTTGTTCTACTGAATCATATGATAAATAGGTGGTATTTCTTATTCAACATAATGATACGATTGTGTTAAACGAAGTCTTATACCAACCATCCTTAGTATAAATAATTTAAATTTGAAAATACATAGTGTCCTTTTATGTCTACACCTTCCTAAAAATATTTCTGTTATTATTTCGGGAGTCAAAACACATGATCTCACTTAAATATATCATTTTTATAAAAAAAAAATCATTGCAAAGTAAAATAAATGGCAATATAAATTACCGTTCAATAGATGGACAAATTAAAAATTAGTTCCATGCATTAGACATTCCTCTTTCACTTCTGGACTTTCGAAAATCACGCTATTAATCTTGATGGTAGGCAATTTTATCTCTTATTATCTCATTCGAGTGGAATTTAATGCAACAATGACTGGCTTTTAATTTCATTACCACCCACTGGCTGCTGATTTGACCATAGCAACCTTATATCTCCCGTAACAAAAGTGTATTGTGCACCAATGGAAACAAATTAGGAGGATGACTATGTGAAATCTATCAGTGAATCACGGAGATACATGTAATTTTATTTAATAGAGACTGATAAGTAAATTGACAATATTAATTTGATGAGAAAAAGTCTTCAGTACTTGTCTTATATAGGCCTAAAGAATTATTTTAATTTTCATAGACGACACTTCTCTATCAATGTTATTATACATTGCACTTTCATTAAAAATAATATTATATTGTGCTCATTTTATTTAAATTATCGATTAATGGTTTTCGTTTGGAAAAAGATTGTTATTCCAAAGCTAAATCACCCGCAATATATCACAAACTAGAATTAATTAAAATATTAAAATTGTTTTCATTAATTATATTACGATTGTATTTAATATTGTTATTTAATAAGAAATAATCACTGTCCATATACATAGGTTCCACGACTACAGGTACTGGGAGTCACTAGCCATAATGAGGCAAATACATTTTTCGATGGTTTTCTTGCCTAAAACAAAATATTCCTATTATAAGATACAGATACGATAATAATATTTATTATTATGTTTATTATTGATGGATGGGCTTTTAGAAAAATACCTTTAACATTGCAAACTCTTTGATTCATTGATTTTATAAAAGAAATGTATCGTTTATACAAATATACATGAGCGGGATGCAACCATATACTGTACATATAATCTACAAACATTTGTTAAACTTAGGTTTTATCACTTGCTTGTGGAGTTTGCAATATTTACTGAGGATCCTTTTTTACTTAAAATTTGACTGTAATGATGATGCATCTTGTTTGGTGTTATACAATAACACAATATAACACTGATAGTCTATAAAATTGAATTAGTAATTGTAAGCAAAATTAATTTTAATTCAATGTGCTTTTAAAAACAATAAATATATATATATATATATAATTTGGTAACTATGTCACCCAAATTATTCTTTGATATTGTTGTAGGTTGTTTAATAATCACTACATGAACCATCGACATGGGTATCATTGCTAGCGGCGATGCAGGCGGCAGTCAGGCGCGCGCGCAGGTAGGGCGAACTGAAAGACTGAGACAAAGGGATCGGACCCCTCACTCGCACCACGTGGTGGGGGAGACAGCAGCGCGGGCGTATGTGCTACATTTTTATTTAGTTTGTAACCATTCCCCAACGTTAGAGCATTGTGCCGGTTCGGACTGTACTTTGCGCTCTGTTTTTCAATAGTGTATCGATATAAAATTCAACAGATGAGTGATAAGGTGTTAAGACTTTCGAAAGCTTATCAGTGCTTCAGTGCCGCCGGGCTCTGGCATGGGAGGCCGCAGAATGATTAAGGCAGCAGCTGTGCTGATAACAGTAGGGTACTGTAGCCTTTTAGTGTACCATGGCGGAGTAACTTTCAACTTCCAAGAAAGACCGGGAGCAGTGCAAGTGCCTGACCTTTCTATTGAACCCGTGACAAAAACAAGCATTTACAATAGTGGACAGAACAAAAACATTACTTTAGATGATATTTTTATTAGTGTTAAGACAACTAAACATTATCAGTATACAAGATTACCGATAATTTTGAAAACATGGTTTCAATTAGCAAAGCAACAGGTAAGAATGATTATCACCTATAAGAATTTTACTAACATTTCTTAACTTAGAATCATATAAGTTTACCGTAGCCTAAACAGGCTTTTAACTTTTAGTTACTTATCATCAAAAGGTAAACAAAACAAAACTTGATAGTAGTAATATACACACTATACAATACCCCTAATATTTGCCTAAATATTTATCAACTTTAACGGACTAAATGAAAATTTATTGTTGTTACGTGTAGTATATTCACAATTTAACATTTCCAAAAACTTCACAATATGGACGAGCAATTTCACTCAATGAAATCAGAGCAGGCTTTGCTTATCAAAAACCAGGGTTTGACGTTTAAATTTACAAATTCTATTATTCAGTCCATTGTCGAAATTCTAAATAGGCTTTCAAACTCATATTTTAGTAACTATTGAACATTATTTATAGTCCACAAAATGTCATAAAAAAGTCATGTATTTTTTTTTTATTATTTTATATCTGCAACTACAATTCAAATCAAATAAAAATACGTGAGTAAATAAAATTACCTATCTTCTGAAAATGAAGCTAAATATTATAATAATATACACACTAATAAAACAATATGTTTTTAGAGGTCATTTTATCCTGTAATCAAGCTTTAAAAATATATATTATATTTTTTTTTTTAAATTAAATCTTCAGAGAAAACTTTTAATTTCAAATAACTAAACATTATTTTTTAACTTCTTTTAACAAAGACACATCCACATTACTTACGATAAACCAATTGAATTATATGGGAAAAAAAATCTTTATTCTTATATCTACAATAAAATTCATAGGTCTTAACTATTGCTGAACTTTAATCTTTTATCTATTCAGTAGTAAAGTTTAAGCAAAAATAAGACTAGCTACTCTGAGCAAAATCAGTAACAAAATTATAACAATCTTTTAATATAATGTTTTCAAGGATAACTTGCTAAAGTGTATTCCTGTATCTATAGGAAAATGTCTTTTTTTAAAAAACAATGCAGTAATTGATTTAGTTTATTTTACATTTATTATCGCTATAATGTTACTGTTTTTACCAAAAACAAAGACAATAAAATTTAAGGATCATAAAAATACTCCCGCAGTGTTAAATTTTAATAGCAAAGTGATAAATGCACTAGAAAACGTTCGCAGCGGGAACCGTATATTTATAAGGTCAATATCGCCATTAACTTCAGAAATAATTTAACAAAGAATGTTTTAACACTCCGATTTTGTATTTGGTTGGTCAAAAGACTATTTCAAGTTATTCGCTAATTGAGCCTTAAAAGCATTTGTGTGTTTCATTAATTACCATTACCATTGTGAATGCTAATGAATATTGTGGTGACTTTAAAATAAGATTTTAAAAGCTCAAATCATTATAGTATGTAAATGTTAAAAATAATTTAAGTCTATGTTATAACAACAATGTTTTAAATCACAATGATCAGTATTATAAGAATTCATTCTTTAATACATATAAAACTAACAAGATATAAATAATACTTATTCGAATAGATCAAGTGAAACACGATAAATCCAAGTGCCCTTTATATTGAATAGTAAGAGTACAAAAGCCAACAATAGAGAACGGACTGCGACTAGTCGTGCATTGCCCGTTTAACTCGAGTTTCCTGAATCTGGAGCGTGCATAATCAACCGTTAATCCGGTCCGAAGGACCAACATAAATAACTATTGTGCATGGACCCTGCGCTTGCGCGCGTGGCACGAAGCGCGCGCGCGCCGGCCACGTGACCGGACTGCGCTCGTTTTAGCCCTTTTGTATATTGATGTATCGCGTTTGATTTATCTGAGAATTTGTGATATTATCATTTTTCAAATTTAATAGTAATCAATGAAACTTTCTATAATGAATATTTTTTTACTTTCTTATAAGGATAAATTGTAGAAAATTCATTTCGGTCAAATTTTATTCGAATCACTATTAATATTATTATATTGCAATCATACTACATTTAATATTAAACATTGATGCAATATTTGAAATCAATCTTTCTGTAATAACATAAAATCTGTTTCTCAAAGGCTAAAGACCTAATATTTGGATATCGGGTATCCAATTTCTGCTTATCGATATTTCGAAAGTTTTTATGCATCCATTTCTTAGATATTAACGTATACCTCTGTTTGTTGTTGACGTTGTAACCTTAGCTTTTGTATAGAGACGTAATGATCAATATCACCGCAAAAAAAAACAGAGAATTCGTCAATACCTTAAATTGTGATAGAATGTTTTATAGGCACATAAATTTAAAATTAAACAAGAAAATTTCGCTGAAAAAATATAACAGCTGCTTCAATAGTGATAAAATAGATATAGCACCGTTATACATATTCCAAAAACAATTACACGTATTATATTCTGTTTTAAATTGGCCAAAATATCGTCCCCACGTTCACTTGGTAATTGCTTAAAAAGTAAACAATCGTGTCGAAATTTAGGAAATCCAGGATTATTCACAAAAGATAAATAATTCTTGATTTATAAGCAGCTTATGATCACCTGGAACCCAAGGATGGAAGATAATAAAGATAATTTAATATTTTGTTCTACCAAGAACATCGACTTCAATATTTTTATTGTATTAGATTCAAACATTGTGAAGCAATATTGGCCTATGTAAGTAGACTCAAAATAGCGTACTTGTATTTTTGTTAAATTCTAATTGATAATTTATAATATTTAAAATATAGTTATTTTTAACACGTTTTTCGTTATATGTTTATTATATTATGTAATATTATCATTCTAATATTTATTAGTAAACGCATCAGCTTTTAGCTCTACACCATTTGGTACTTAATTGCGCATTGTAATATATCCTATGCTATTTATTAAAATTTTATATTATTAAATAATAATGTATTAAAATGTTTAAAAACATCTTGCAAATTTCAAGACTAACATGACGTTCTAGGTATTAAATACGAAAATCAAAATTCATTACACGTTATATACTCACTGGTTCGGAACCGACTCTTCAGATTACAAATTGAGTTATAAACGTATGCACTATACAAATATACTATTGTAATACGAAAAGCGTAGAACGACATTGAAAACTACAAACCTACCTATATTTACAATCGTATTTATTGCATTTACTGATGTTGCGATTTAAAAATAAACTTATAATAAAATATACCTCAATAGCAACATCAGAAATAATATCAGAATACAGAGGGAGACTTTGTACGAGAGTTGTCAGTTTGGATATCTCTGTCCCATTTGTATTTCTGTCGTGAAGCAGTTGTGTTTGTATGGCTGTGCTTCGATTTGAAGGGCGGGATTTGGCAATGAAATTACAAGGTACAAAGCCATAACAACTTAGTCCTCAGGAACAGCAATATATGAAGAGTATTATCGACAACACAGTATACTCTGTTATGATCTTGATACTGTTCATGTCTATTCCATCAAGTAAGCCGTCAGCTTGCTTGCCATCCTATGTTGCATAAAAACATTTTAAAAAAGAAATAGAAAAAGTTAGCTTTTGTTTTTCTTCAACGTAGCAAACAAGTAAATAACGCCTTCAGCACTAAAAGTTTTGACAAACACCGTCAGATATTTGCCAGTAACTTGAAGTTTGTGCGGCGCGAAACTGAGAATATTATGCACCTTGTATTTCGTCATATTAAAAAACACTGTTATTTCTCATTTGCCTGTACGTATTAAGTTTTATGTATTTATCATTTCCTCGCAACTTTCTCGGCCTAACTGGAATATGGTTACTGAACGGGATAAAAAGTGGCCTATGTCCTTCTCAATACCGTATAGTACCTGTATACCATACCATACCATAATAATTTATTAAGCCGTTAAAGAGGTAACAAACAAACTCACGCTCATATTTAAAAATATTAGTAAGGATTCACATAATAATAATTTATTTACATTAAAAAATTTACAGCGTAATATCAATTTACTAAGTACTTTTACATAATTAAATATTAATCTAAGCCAATTGAATTATATAGATTTTGATAATAATATATCATATCTTTTATTTTTTATAAACTTTGCCTAAAATACAGAATGTACTGTATCAAAATATTTATTTAGACATTTTTTATAATCTATCTATTCTTATTAACAATCTGCCTTAGGTTCTAAGGTAATATCTGTAAAGTTATATTCGATGAAGAGTGCCGGGAATAAAATAACCGGAACAAGCGATCTTAATGCTAGTTGTTAGATATTATTGACCTCAACACGGAATGCTGGAAGCCATCTTTATTAATTGCTCTAGAATTTGGCACGATGAGCCAAATGATCTGATCGCACCTATTATCCCTCATTGGGGGAAAGGGATTGTTAGTAATGGAGACTAAAAATCCCATTGCTAGGAATAAACTCAATCAGGTCGACCTCCTCGTGGTTCCCTCTGGAAACTATCATGGTTAATTCCTGATGAATTCGTCATGATGGGCTAACTGGCCTATTTTCATTCTCATCGATCACCCTTCACTGGTGCTCCGCCAGCGTATCCCATTAGCGCAGGCGGGGTTACCATTACATTTTCATCCACAAAAAAAAAAAAAAATTATCCCTCATTGGTATTCAGCAAGTATAAACAAAAAAGTTATTATTCTATTTCCATCCAAAAAAAAAAGAAACAACAGAATCTGTGGCATTGCCTTAAATTAGTAAAGCACATTTAGAAGAGGAATCTACTTACAATCCCTTATTATTTGCTTATTGTTATTACTTTGAATTATTTTGTTCCTTATATGAGATAAGGTGTAAGTACAGTTTATTTTCACACTAAATGATTTCATTATATATTAGAGAAGTTAAATATAATAGCATACACTGAATCTTTGTGATTTATCCGGTTGGTCACGTTAGGCAAACATGTTGTGAACAAACCGGGGTGTGTCTAATGTTATTTACTGACCTGATTGTATAAATAGTGATCTATGGAAGTGACATATAAATTGAGACGTTAACTTTGAGTGCGAATTGAATTCACGTAAACGGATCTATATATTCAAAGCTCACTTGAATAACTCAATTTAATAAGCAGTTGGTAAATTTCCGACTACTGGGTTAATACTCTCTATTAAGTGAAAGATCAAGGATTAAACCATTACCATCCAAATAGTCAAAAAAGTATTTAAAGTACTAATTTATTCTGATACTAAGTGGTAAATAATTAGACACCAAGACGGTCAGATTGCCTGAATGACTAAATTATCAATTAGATGAGTTGTTTAAATTTGTTTTAGGATACTATAATAAAACTCCAAATTGCCCATATTAGGTATTGGCAATGTATGTTGATGATTTAAAAAAATTCACTAGTTATTTAGTATTTACTTGTAGCAAAAAGATTAGATATCCTTTTGCTACAATTAAATTCATTGATATGTATCGAAACCTTGACAATAATTATCGACAACACTGCTAGTGTTACAGATGTCCATAAGCTACAGTTTACCATCAAACAGGCTGCATGCTTATTTTTATACTACAAAAGTGGCAAACAGCCACCTTTGTGATATTAAAAAAAACATATTTCCGAGTAGTAGGAAAAATATGTCTGCGTAGAATGACTAAAATCCACAATGATGTTTGGTATGTGATAAGTTTTTTAATATCCCTTTTAACTAAAATTGTTTCTTGTCATAAATATAAAATATGACCACAATTTAACAGATAACTAGAGGTCAAATACATTTCACATGTCGCGAACGATTACATGAGAATTCGGAATGCATTGCTTTGAATTATTTAGATATAACGTAGTTTTTATGCACCTTAAGCGTCCTTAATAAATAATCTGAAAAAGTAAAAATTCTCAGTGTTCACTACAAATTCTACTACTTCACTCACAATTACTACTAGTTAAATCACTACTAGTTCACTACAAAATAGTACGACGTTGCAAAATAAAAAATTGTGTAATTCTTACAGGCACAATTATTACACTAACGCTAAAAACTATGGCATGCCATCTTCATATAGCTACTTACAAATTTACCTAGTAATTTGTAAACTTAAAAATAGTATAATAAATAATTAGTAATCATTTAAAACTTAGTGGAATTTAGTTTTTTTCGCAACTTTCGCATTATTTACACATATTTTAAATACACTATTGGGACTTAATGCGATGGAAATTAATTTTAGTTAATTTTCTGTAGATAAATAGTACTTACATACCTGCTGCTTTATTGCCGACGTTTCAATGTGGACTGGATTCTAGACCTGCCATGACCACGACGTGGTGCAAAAATTTTTCATCATATTAAGACCCGATAGTGTATTTAAAATTAATGTAATATGTTAGAATTACACTAAGTTTTGCCAGTTATGGCACTATAAGTTCCACTATAATAAAGAACTATGTCACTTCCATCTAGTTCTTTTCATTGTATCTGCTTTTGACGTCAGGTATTATCGGCGGGTGTGTATTGTCAACAGACGACAAGATTGCGGATGTACCGCCCTAAATGCTAATATTGTGACTTGTGATACCTCCATTATATTATATCTAAGTATGTAGGCGTTGTTTTCATAAATAACACATAAATACTAACCCTCGACATGTTGACCAGTCGGTCAATTTGTTAATATAACGATTTATATTCATTAAAATTTTACTAGTTTGATAAAATCTACATGTTTTATCTTACATTATTATACATTCTACTATCTTTATTAATTTAGTAAGTTTAAGTCCCTTTATCTATTATAATCTAAGTATATTTATTTGTGGTCAACGGATAAATACAAATTGTGAATTGTAGTGTTTTTATAATTGAATTCAAATAAAGAGTGTTACAATTCGACATGTTTTTTTTTTAAATATCTTCGTCGATTCTGCGCTTATGCTAATTTTTCTTACCTATTTTATTATTTTAATTTTTTTACGAAGTATAAAACAAAAATTCTTTTATTTTCTAAATTATATAGGTATTCATTGTAGCAAAATATTATAAAATTGGCCATAAATATAATAAATATTCGTACCATATTTCAAATTTAAAAATATAAAAGTATTTTAGATGATATATTTGTATGTAATGAACATTCACAATTTGTTTTTTATTTGAAATCAAGCATTATCTGCTTTTGAACTAAGCATAACCATGCAATATAAATACTAAACATCTGACAGAATAATGACACTTAATTTTTTTTAATATATACATGTATTTAATATACAACAAATATTCAGACCAATACAAATACATGCAGCTGTGAATACAAATGTTTGTATCGTGCGGGTATCGAACCTACAACCATCTTCCGATTGCTAAACCGCTACACCAAGGTCGTCGAACGAATTTCGCGGAAATGTTCAACACGCCGTGAGGAAGATAACAAAGTTTAGCTTGTATGGTACTTTGCATATTTGAGATAAGAAACGAAAGCAGCTTACACGATATATCTGCACACACATGTATAAAAATTAAGAATCCAATTACACCGTGAAAGTATCGTGTAGAGGAAGTAATATTTTGTTAAAAAGTCAAGTAATTTATATTTTTTTTATGCAACTTAGAATGGCAAACAAGCATACGGCCCACCTGATTAAAAGTGGTAACCGTCACCTATAGAAATGTGCAGTACCATGAACGTATCAGAGTATACTGTTTCGCCCATGGCAACCCACCATGTGTTGCCCTTCCTAAGGACTCAGGTGCTATTTCTCTGTGCCCTGTAAATTTACTGCTATATCCCACCCTTCAAACCGAACACAGCAATGCAAACAACTGTTTCACAACTGTTTGATAGAAACACGAATGGGACAGAGATGCCTAAGCAAACAACTTGTACAAAGTCTCCCTCTGGTATATATTAATTAACCGAGGAAAAATACCCCGTCTCCATCCCATAAGTGTACTACAATAATGGCAATTTCATAACGGCTGGAATAGCCATTGGGTTTCCAAAAAGTACAAATTTACAATATTAATAATCATTAACAAGAACTGTTTCGTTGTTTTTCCTTTATTTTCTAATAAATTATTATAGCTTTTTATACTTTCTTATTATTAGGTAACCAATAAATTCACGTCCTGGCTTTTATGAGCACCTGTGCAATAAATATCATATAAAGGCAGCTAGTATCTCCTTGTCAACCCCTATATAAAGCTTGCCCCAGTTTTCTTGTCAGCTAAAGAGTATTTATTTTAACGGCACCTACATAACAAACTAAATGTCCATAGTACTGCTCATGTCTATAGGCGACAGTTACCACTTTTCATCAGGTGGGCCGTTAGCTTGTTTTCCATTCTAAGTTGCATAAAAAAATGTGTATTTGTAATCATTTGTAAATACATCCGACATTACTTATAGTAATAGTACATAGTCCATAGTACTGCTCGTATCTATAGGCGAAAAATTGAAAATTTTACGAAACGGTTACCACTTTGCATCACAAAGTGGTAACCGTTTCGTAAAATTTTCAATTGTGTGCATTTATTATTTATTTTTAAATATAATTAACAAAAAATTTGCATTTCTTATTATTATTAGAAGAGATAATATATTCAAACTGTATTATCCTTTGTTACAGACTTGGTTCTTCACAGATACAGAAAACCGACAGCATCAAAATCAAACCAGTAAGTCCTATTACCAACTTTCATTTCAACTTCGTATATTAAAACTGTTTTGATCTCCATTTGTTGGAACTTGAGATAAGGGTTCCTTTACCTGAAATAAGCAGTATTGAAATTTTAACTCTATGTCGTTATGTTACAGTTTATTTTCATGTGCTTCCAGATGGACATATGGTAAACACAAACTGCTCGGCGTCGCATCAACGCAAACACCTCTGCTGCAAAATGTCGGTGGAATATGACCATTTCCTGGAGAGCGGTAAAAAGTAAGTAACTTAAATGTTATAAGAACTCAAAGAAAAATGAATAGCTTTTTGAAATATTTTTCAATTTCGCATAGGTGTTACAAAGAAATTTTTGGACAAAATCACAATATTGTAACTATATTAGTATTGATACAAAAGTATATATTAGTAATATTATTATTTACATTCTTATATTATCATACTTTCATATTCATTATAGTAAACATGAAAGATCTCTCCTCTTACTTTCCTTATCAAACAATTAAAGATCGTTTAAAATCTTGATGAACATTAGCTAGATTGTTATAATCAACTCCAAACGGGGATGATATGAGATACATGTAGGAAAAGCTAATCATTCATAAAAACTTACTAGTTCCTTCCAATTTTAAACTATATAAAATTGTTTAGATCTTTGTTACTAAACCTCGCTTGACGCGACAAGTGTGAATAAAATTTTATACACAGAGGAACTGTATTCTTAATTGCCTTGCCATTATCCTATATACACACGAACTAACCTATAGGACACAATAAGTAAATTACAACAATGCGGTCGTTCATAATAACATATTTGTATATGTACCAACATCTTTGTTTTCACATGAGTGACCACCTCTTACGGCAAGCCCGAGTCAGTATTCGGCCTTATTGTTCACTGATTTCATAACAACAGTATTTAATAACGCCCGTTCAGAGGTTATCATTTAGTCCACAGGAAACCCAAACACGGTATCATTATATCATTAAACAATACAAGCGCCAATTAGCGTTCGTTAAAAAGTTTTATCTATTGTGCCAACATTCAAAAAGAAGGTTCCATTTCATCTGTATTCTTTAGCGTTCCGTACCTCTTGAGTGAACTACGGAACTCGAATTAAATCAGACGAAATTTGTTGCCATTACTGAAAATTTATTTTTTTATAAATGGGCCTAAATAATTCTAGTTATGATTTGTTTTCTATATTTAATTTAAAGAAAAATAATCTTGGCATTTTTTCTTCTCGAAATGACTATGTATCAAATATACGAATATAAACATTTATTATTTTTTATGGATTACTACATATACATAATAAATTATTAAATTCGATAATAGTACATTACTGCAGCGACCAGCAACTGAGGCATTGATGGATGAACGTACAAATGTGGCCAAGGCGCAGCCGAGGCACACATACATGAGTCCATCAATGCCTAGTTGTGGCCAAGGCTTGTATAGTACTTTTCTCAAACAATGCGCGGAAATCAAAAACACAATTTTAGTTTTTAAGTTCAATGACGAAAAACAAACAATAATAATTTTTCACTCGCCATAATGTTCCTTTGTTTTTTTCAATAAACAGCTTTCTATTTGCTAGCCAGTTTGAAATTTAAATAAAACATTTTATTAGTTACTTTCTTGGTAGCCACGTTTCGAAGGAAAAGGTCATTCCATTTTTAAATTACAGGACAGATATGAGTTTATATAGTAATTTATCTGGCCGCAAAACACGACAGATATGGATTTTCATACAACTTTTGCCGGCCGCTGCCCGTATGTATTTGGCCAGTACGGCAATTTTGATTTATCTCGAAGAAGATTGTCAAAATAATGCTCACATTTCCAAGCATGTTTGAGAAAAAACATATGCTGGTTCTTTTCTAATTATCCTTAATAGAGAAAATAGACGATCTTTTTTTGTGAAGTTTAATTATCTTCTAACAGTTGGAAGATATTGATAACCTAACTCCTACACATACATAACGTGGATATAAATACAATAATCGAATGATAGTCGGCAGATATTTGAACATACATAATTACAATCTGCCACACCGTTACCTAGTCCATCAAAGTGACACATCTCAGCAATTATAACGCAATCAAAGCACTATTTGTAACATGTGAAATGATGGATGCTATTAATCAGTCCCGTAATTATAACCAACGTGGATCTGAGAGCTACAATTAGAACAGGAATTAGAGATTTCATGGTAAGCGGTGCTAAACATACAATACTAAAAAGATTAACATAAGAGACGGTCTACATTGTATTAATATAATACCTATAAATATAAAAGTTTGTAATGGTATTTTTTTAATCATAATCAAACGGAGATTAAGCAAAATTTAGTACCGACAGACTATAATTATAATAAATTAATATAAGAATTATTTTTTTATCCTAAATAACATGAACAAAACAGTGACACATGTTTAATTTAATATTAAAAATGTGAAAATTTATTATCTTATTGCTCAATTACACTTAAACGGCTAAATGAAATTTGATATACAGGCCGTATTCTAAATCGAACTGACAAATATACTGGAATACACCTAGTAATATTAATATTACAAATGTGAAAATTTATTATTATATTTTATTGTTCAATTACACTTAAACGGTTAAATAAAATTTAGTACACAGGCCGTATTCTAAATCGTGCTGGCAAATACACTGGAATATACCAAGTAATATTACTATTACAAATGTGAAATTTTGTTATTTTATTGCTCAATTACACTTAAACGGCTAAATGAAATTTGGTAAATAGACTGTATCCTAAATCATGCCGGCAAAACCACGAGATATACCTAGTGATAAACACCCGTAATTTCAAATCAATGTCCTTAAGAAGAGGTAATTAATTTTTTTTCTACTTGTTTCCTTTGAGAACAATACTAAATTCTTTTATGAAAATATTCAAAATTTTAAATATTCCACAAATATATTTTATTGCGAAAGCAAAGAAAAAAGTTACAAATACCTTGTAAAGGTAAAGAAATTGTACCACTATAATATGTATTATAATAATCTATAAATCTTCATTTTAAAAAAGTATAGCTAAGTTTTAATTTTATCTCCAATCTAAACGTGTGCCACATTAACCTTAAATTGGTGCCTAAAATTGCTTTTAAAACGGTACCTGGAAGTGTAATTTCTTTAATAGTCCAATGATTCTCAAAGTTTTTTTTTATCTAAATGACCGTTTTAGTTCAAACTTTATTCGTGAATGCACACTTGAGCCTTTGTTTTTAGTAAAAACAAGATGCTCTTAACTTCTGTTTTTAGAAGCCTGTTTGAATAAATATTTGATGTTAGTTTCTCTAACCACCCCAGTGATCATATTTATCGATCTCACGGGTTATGGCATCGTTTTTCTTTAAAAGGCAGCCGAAAACGTATTTATAATTCTTCAAACAAAACCTCTCTTGTGTCGTGTTACTATGGAAAACTAAAAAATTTATTGTAGGTTATAATTTAAAAAATTATTGCTCGTAAGCAGTTAATTTAAATACTAAATGTAATAAAATTAGTGTGATGTTCCCATAGGCGAGTAAGTAAACTATGTAGTGTACACTTTCTTCTACGCACAACCACACAATACTTTGTAATCAACTTCCAGCAGCAGCATTTCCGAACCGATACGACATCGTAACCTGCACAAAATAGCATATTCCTTTTAAAAAGCCGGCAGCACACTTGCAGTTCATCTGGTGTTACGGGTGCTCATGAGTAGCGGTTCTCGCTTACTATCACATGAGTCGCGTTCTCGTTTGCCGACGTTTCAAAAAATGTCGATTTCAATAAAATCAACGATAATTGTGCCGAATTGGGAAGGATATCGCGTAACATCACTCACACCAAAAATATTCAAATTAAGTAATTTCTCATTTCCTTATTCGATTATAATATTTAATATTATGTAACTTACAACTCTCTAAAAGATAATTTTTTTTTTGTATATTTTTGTAACACTCCATTGTCCTCCTGTTGTAGGTTATTTATAAATACAGGTGTTTCTTTGTAATAAATATAAATACAACCGTAACGATAAATTGTTTTTTTTTTTTTTATTTCCAAACTTCCGAAATTAATATTAAAGATCTGACGTTACCTCTTACCCGTGTTTACTGTTCTATATTCTTGTTCTATGATATTTACTCAGTCATCTTCAAACTGTAAAAGGATGTTAAACCAAGTGAAAAGCTTTTTAATCTGTAGACATGAAACTCAACAACCTCGATGTTGAAATACACACAACAAACGTTAATGGTTTTTGAAGAGCAAATTCAATATTATGTTGAGCTTCACAATGATTTTCACGCGTTTACACAGAATCCACGTGATTGTTTTTGTTGGCCTCCTCTTTTTTTTTACAGCTGCGATCCATCTTGGTACCCCTTAAAGTTATTAAGCAACTTCTAAAAGGGAGATTTTCTCAATACGTTTGTATTTCTTTTCGTCGCCAATTCTGAAACGATTTTGATAATCCTTATTGCTATCGATAATAGGGTTCACTCCCGTTTTGCTTTTAAATTTGTGACGATTGAAGCAATCGCTTTTTTGTGGCGAAAAAAACTGCTCGAAGCGAAGTAAAATCTATTCTATGCGCAATAATTTATCTAAAACATATGATTACAGGATTATATGTTTTAGATAAAATACATATTTCTTAGTTAGTTTCTTTCTTAGTTAAAATACATATTTTAAAGCCAAATTATAAGTAAATCTATGATACATATTATCGTTCGTAAGTCGTATCACTATCAAAACGTTTATCGACTCTCAATCTTCAATATAAATGATAAAAGCTTAATCAATACATTGGGATTAAACCATTAATGAATTACGGCAACCCTCTAATGAATTGACAATTTGCTACGGCAGTATTGATGTTAAACGAGATATGGCTCTTTGTTCGTAGAATTAAACCGTGTCATAAAGCAGGATTCACACTATAATATTCTCGGTACATTCGTGGTCTGATAAAAATATTATTACGTAAGAAACAATCAGTCTTTTTTCATAAAAAATATTGTAGGCTTTAAGAGCGATTAACTAAAACTTCCAATAATGCTTGAACCTAAATAGTATGTTATTCATAAATACTCAATAAGCCCTTAATAATTAAAATAAGTATATTGGAGGATTTACGTTATTATGTTGATGAGGCACTGAGAACGAACTGAACGAACGAGACGTTATATGTGAATCCGGCCTAAGAGGTCATTGCTTGAGCACGTTTGTTTCATTTCCTTATCCCACGCATCA